AAAAAGAGTAAGCACCATAAGGTCTGGTCAGCACCAAATTCAATGAAAAAACTTTGTCTGCAGAGTGTGGGGATTTTAGACTTGTTAAGGGTTAGGAACTATTTTATTATTTTATTTCTAAAATGTGTCAATTGAATTGTTAGAAACAGTGATAGGATACTATTTCCCAGCACTTGTTCACCTCAGACTTAGCAGGAACTACAAGATCAAGATATTCTTTCTACTATAAAGTAGCTCCCATACTTCATCTCTTCAAGCCCATCACACCTGGCATGGTTATTCCCACATCAACTCAAGGGGTTCTATGAGGAGCAATTGGATTTTGGTGAAATCAAGAACTGATCCCAGCTAACATGGACACAAATGTCTGAGCTGAGGCCTCCACCTCCTGCTCCCATGCTCTCCTTCCCTGCCTTTCTTCCCTCTTGATCCCCATGCTGAGGCAGCAGAGGACAGGCTCCAGCCAAAGGCTGAAGGCTGGAGGAGGAAGGGCTTCCTGTCGTGCAGTGTGGTTAGGAAACATGATCCTACAATTGAACATCTCCTTCTCCAGATGGGCTGTGAATGAAGCATCTCGTCTTTCAACCCCCTAGACCCGTGGTCAGCAAACTGCGGCTCGCGAGCCACATGCGGCTCTTTGGCCCCTTGAGTGTGGCTCTTCCACAAAATACCATGTGCGGGCGCGCACGTACAGTGCAATTGAAACTTTGTGGCCCATGCACAGAAGTTGGTATTTTGTGGAAGAGCCGATATTTTGTGGAAGAGCCACACTGAAGGGGCCAAAGAGCTGCATGTGGTTTGCTGAGCCGCGGTTTGCCGAGCTGCAGTTTGCCGACCACTGCCTAGACTTTCAACCACGTCAAGGTGGCAGTAATTGACTCTCAGAAGGTCCTTGGTGTGAGTTGGTTCAGGCACAACCAGGGGAGTCTTCACTCTTATTCTGAAGCCTTTCTCCACATGAGCTCTGCCAGGAAGAGTGGCGGAGTGTTGCCTGAAGGCTGTTTGTATAAGGGAGGTCCAGGGCGTTTCTTGGAAGATCCCAATGGCCATCTCCAAATGCCAGGAGAGAAAGCTCCTGGGCCAGGGTCCATCTGTGCTCTTGTAATGCTCAGTGGGCAACACTGGCAAAGGGGCTCCTAGAGGGTTAAAGCCAGGAAGCCAGAGAGCTCCCTCCTCTCTGGGTCTGCAAGGTCTCATTTCTGCTCCTCCTGGGGCCTCGGGATCTCTCACTCTTCTCTTCTCTATGGCCACTCTCTCCCTTCTGTGCTCCTCTCTGTATCTGTATAATTCCCCTTCTCTTGTGGGAGTTTGTTATTTAACTTTTATTGTAATACATGTCCAATATAGAAAAATTAGGAGACTCAGATGTATATAATAATTGCTGACACACCCTTCTAAGGGCTCTACCTGAATTTTATAACTTACCCCTGATGACAACTCCACTATATGGGTAGATGCAATCATCATCATCATCATCATCATCATCATCTCCATTTTATTTTTTAATCCTCACCCAAGGATATTTTTCCATTGATTTTTAGAGAGAGTGGGAGAGGGAAAGACAGAGAGAAATATTAATGTGAGAGAAGCACATAGATTGGTTGCCTCCTGCACAAGCCCTTACCAGGGCCCAGGCCAGGGAGGAGCCTGCCACAGAGGTATGTGCCCTTGACCAGAATCGAACCCGGGACCCTTCAGCCTGCAGGCCGATGCTCTATCCATTGAGCCAAACTGGCTAGGACTTCATCTCCATTTTATAGATAAGGACACTAAGACACAGAAAGATTAAGTCACTTGCCCAAGATCACAGGGTTAGGAAGTGGCAGCCTGGGATTTGAATCAGGCAGCCTGGTTCCAGAGAAAACCCTACATTGAGAGATAACCACAGACACATTTGGGAAACAGCTGTTCAGTCTTTTACTTATAAGTATAGTATTTTAAGTATAATTTTTTTCATAAATTATTAAAAACTAGAGGCCCAATGCACGAGATTCATGCATGGGTAGGGTCCCTAGGCCTGGCCACTGATCAGGGCCGATCTGTGGGGCGACCAGTGGGGTGATCAGGGGCTCCTGCTGGCACCTGCCTTGGCCAGCCTGTGGGCTGGGGGCAGCTCCTGTGTTGAGCGTCTGCCCCCTGGTGGTCAGTGCGCATCATAGCGACCAGTTGTTCCACCGATGGTTCTGCTGTTCTGTCGATATGCATATTAGACTTTTATTATATAGAATATGTCATAGTCTGTGCTGTTTTGTAGCCTTTTTGCCACTTACCTTTCTACATAAAATAGTCTTCTACAACCTTTTCTTCAAAATGAAAGTTTTCTATGCTGTATACCTGAATATAATATTGAATGTCAACTATAACTGACATTTCTAAATTGCTTTTTAAATGAAAGTCTTGCCTTTTTATTGTAAAAGTGATAAAGCAAACAAATGTATGCATTTGCTTGTAAAACATCTTGGAAAGGATACACTAGGTGCTGGTAACACTGGTTACCGCTGGAGGGAGCCAGATGAAAGGCAGACATGGATAAGAGGGAGACTTGATGGTATAACCTTTTATACTTTTGATTGTGACTATGTGAATGCATTATCTATTTCAAAAATATGTAAGTTTTAAAAAATGAAACATTAATCTTCATTGCAAAAAATACAGAAATGAATAGAGTAATTGATCTTTAAAGTTAATACCAGAGATAACACTGTTAACATTTTTGCTCTATTTCTTCCAGATCTTTACCTATGAATGTATAGATCTATGCACAGACATATTTTTACCAAAATGGTACGATGCTGCACAGTGCTGTTTTGTTACCTGTGTTTTTCACTTAGGGTGAATTAAGGACAACATTCTGTGCAGCCTCATGCTGCAGGGTTACCAGTCATGTGAAGTTGGCCAGTTTGCAAAAGGCTATTTCTGGATGGACTGAGAGTGTCCAGCATGTGGGACATGCAGTGCTAGCTGACACCAATCTCCAACCACCCCAAATCTGGACTTTTAATTGAATGTAATTTTTAACTTTTATTTTTTTTTAATCCTCACCAGAGTTTTTATTGATTTTAGAGAGGAAGGGAGAGAGAGAAACATTGATAGTATGAGAGAGAAACATCACTATAAGAAAGAAACATTGAGCGGTTGCCTCCAGTACACGCCCCAACTGGGGATCAAACCCGTAACCTAGGAATGTGCCCTAACCAGGAATCGAACCAGCAACATTTTGGTGTATGGGGACGATGTTTCAACCAACCGAGCCACTCGACCAGGGCAAATCTGGGCTTTTTAATTTGTTGCGTGAAGACCCTGACCAAGCAGGATGCTGTGTTCCAGACCCTGGGGAGAGAACGTCTGGGAATGGATTAAACTTTCCTCCTGTCCGTGATGTTTAACCTATGTCACTTATTCCATAGCTACCAATACCTCCTAGCTGCCCCCTCCCCTCAGCTTTCACATTCACCACCACCAAGACAATGCCATTGGAAGTAGAGGGTTTGGTGGGAAGAACCAGTCTGCATGTCCAAAGACCTGGGCTCCCATCTGGGCTCTGCCACATGCTGTGTGATCCTTGGCAAGTCACTTCCCTCTCCGTAGAAGTGATATTCCCCAGGCTGCCTATTTCACAGTGTTATTTTATTGGAAGACTCAGATGAAATTATGGTTGTGAAAGTAGTATTAAAATATAGTACACTGTGTACATATGAGTTTGTATTGTTAAATTCTGCCCATTTAACCTGAAGTGTCAGAAGGAAAGGTAGACATCAAAACCAGTGGGTCCAGCTTCTTCCTAACATCGGCTCCTAAAGCTAACTCTTCCCTAGTCATCTTCAACTTCTATGCGTTCATCTTTTTTTTAAAAAATATATTTTTATTGATTTCAGAGAGGAAGGGAGAGGGAGAGAGAGACAGAAGCATCAATGATGAGAGAGAATC